AAAAAAAATAAGTGGAGAATTGCAAAATGAGTCTTTCATGTCGATGCGGTTAGAAAATTTCACAAATCAATTTCGACTTCGAAATATGAGACAATGGTCATAGGTTGAATTGGCCAGATAGTTTAATTTTTTCCACGCAAAATAGCCAGGAAACACTCGCTAGTTAGGCAGCTCGGAATAATCGGCAGCCGTTCTACGGTAACACAGCACGAAAAAGTGAAAAACTAACGATAATGTAGACATCGGATACCAAAGCACCGTACAACGCCCACTGACTTGAAACTAGAAAATTGGCTATGCACAACGGTAATGGTAAAGTCTCGCAGCTGCGTTGCCGTAATACCACTTTCTGCAAAAATCGGTTGAATTTTTTCCTGAGAAGGGGAACCAACCCAGACATCAAATTAACCCTCGTACAGCCTGGTTTCCCTTGCACGTCTGAAACATCGACTGAAGAGCTAACAGCCAACGCTACCACTACCAGCAATATGCTTTCCTTCAGAAAACCTCCCTGTTGCTTCCTTTATCGTAGTAAGAGTGCGTATAACCTAGCGCGTTAGTGCGTCTTGTCTGGAATTTTGATCTAACAATTACTAACGATGCTCAAACATCTGCAGCAAGACAAAGCCTTTCTCGACATTGCTAAAAGATCCAATATGTTGAACTTACAAGTCCAGCAAGTGGTGCACCGAAGTTCAATATGTTGAAGGTCATACACGTAAAACCGAGTGGATGAATAATGTCATGCCCGTATAACTGCACCAAGAAAAGCATTATCGATATCAGAAATATCACAGCACTGATTTCAATCGAGATCCACAACTGCACAAGAGCAAAAAATGGAGCAAACCCTGCTACTGAATTTAGAGTCCCAGAAATGCCACACCAGCTGCGGAGTGAAGCTTTTCAAGTTTAGCTCTGTTTAATTACTATATGTCAAGAAACTGCGAATGCCAGTGCAGCTGGTGCTAAAAGAACAACTCTTCGAGAGTGCTGCAAAAAGCACTCATTTCTTGCTGTCGCCTGCACTTTGTTTTTTGCAAAATATTGTGAATACTCAAAAAAGGCTAAAACTCAATCTGGAAGGTAAGAAGAATCTGGTATCAGAAAATGCTTACCTTCTTCTGGGTCATGAAATAGTAAAATATAAGATATGAGCCCATAAGCACGATAGCAAAGATGTTTACCGTGATCATAGTGTAGTCTACCTTCAATAAACCGTAACGGAGCCAGTATGCCGCTCTAAAAATTATTTGGCAAACTGGTCAAATTATTCTCATGCGAAACAAAACAACCAAGCAAGGCAAACTTATCGT